GCCACGTGCACCGCCACCACCACCACACTGTCACCACACGCTAACACCTGAGAGCGGGAGGACAGAGAGACGGAGAGCAGGGGGAGAGAAGATAAACACACACAGGAGAATGGAGAGATGGAAGAGAGAGGTAAGAGCGAGAAAGAGAGTCCAAGGGAGAGACAGAGAGAGAGTGGGAAACAAATCATGCACACTCAGGGAGAAAGGGGGGAAAGAGAAGAGGAGGAAGACAGAAGGAATAGGAGAAGGACAGAAAGAAGACAAGAAGAGGAGCATGAGCAAGAGGAAATGGAGACACAGGGAGGAAGAGGAGAAGAGGAGGAAGAGCAGGAGGAAGAGGGAGGAGGAGAGGAGGAGGACACCTGAGGCACACGGGGTTTGTGCTCTTCAGATTTTGAGAGATAAAAGTCCTCATTTCACTGTCCAGAGTCCAGACCTGCCTCAGATCTAAAGAACACTGTGAGGAGGAGGAGGAGGAAGAGGAGGAAGAGGAGGAGGAGGAGGAAGAGGAGGAGAAAGAGTCACTGTACACTGTGCTGTTTATGTCAATAAAAACACATTATTTTATAAAAAGCAGAGGGCTGCAGCAGGTACACTGTTGAATGAACCATTAGGCCAAGGCTCCAGTGCATCAGCATTTATATGTTTAAGTGTAACCTCACCAAACAACAGCAGCACGACAACACGAGGCTCCAGCAGGACGTACGAGCACAGCATAGGCTCTGTCTTTCTCAATGGGAAACATGACTCATATGAGATTCACAGTGAAACTAACAGCTGAACACACTTGTATTTACCTTCTGTACAGACTCACCACGGCAAACACCAGGATTTCAAAAGTACATTTTAAAGCACTAATCAACAGTTTTTCTGGACCTGGGCTCTTTCACGCGACACAGATCTGCCCCAGGAGCATGTTGTGCTCACGGTAAAAATACAAATACAATAACAGATACATGCTCTTTATGTACGCTCATGTAGAGCATCAAAAAATAGGATGGATCCTATTTTCTGAAATCTATGCACACAGACGCACTGTGTACAGCGAGCAGTGTGGCCACACTCATTCACTTTTACTGCATGTGCCCAAAAGTTGCAGTTTTTATGCTTGTGTAGGGCAAAAACACGTGCGCAGTGTGTCCAGGCTCTTATCCACAGAAGTGAAGTATTCTCACATCTGGTGTTACAGAAAAAGGCCAAAAATCTCCCCACTAATGTAAATAAATTGTACACATGATAAACATTGAGCCTCAGAATATATAATTGCAGTTTTCATATTTTACCCAATAACAGGCCTATTGCGAGAAGCTTAAAATGTACTCCATTCCAATGAAAAGTACACGCAGAAACTTGTTGTACCTCATATTTGGGCACAAACTCCACTCCAACATAAAGAGAGAACTTTTGCTCTACATGAGAGACACAGATTGTCCAACCTGAATTATTCAGAGGAAACATGTCTGAGGTGAATTATACATGCTCTCTCTCTCCTTCTCTCTCTCTCTCTCTCCCTCTCTCTGTTTTCTCTGTTTTCTCTCTCTGTTTTCTCTCTTGTTTGTTAAAACAGACTGAAGTACAGTTGTCAGCATCAATAGGTTTGTTTTGCTTCACCAACCAGCGAGCACGCCCTTATCGTCCCAGCAGGGGGCGCCCACAGGATTCTGGTGGTGTGAACTCACAAAAATTGTGAGAATGAATCTGAGTGGATTCAGGAGTGTGCGTGAGAGGTGTGTCCAGGCCTGAAGTGAGGCGCAGTCAGCTCACATACAGAATATATCAAGGACCTAATCCCCAGGGAGTCCCTGCTCTTTCACCAGAGCCGCTTTTCCAAATGAACATGAGATTTATGGAGGTCCTGGCCCACAGGAGAATATTCAGTAGAACATGTGAGTTGTGATCACTTCACAGCACACTGCAGTGATCATAAAAGTCTGTTTTAAAAACAGCCACACGTTTGAGAAAGGCTAACGCTGCACACTTCATTATGAGACAACTACACTTTAATATGCAAATGAGGAACAGAGCTGTTCCTCATTCAGTATAACGAATGAGGAAGAGCTCTTCCATAGTGCTATTTACACGACACACACGTGTTATACGGAAAGAACAACAAACAGTTGAGTAAGTTGCTGATATGAAACAAAAACTGTAGCATGAATGAATTTCTCAGTCCAGTATTTTTTCAATTGTGGGCCGCAAACTTCTTCAGGTAGAACTTGGAGCTTTTCAGTTTGTGGGTTCATTATTTAGAAATACAGTGGGAATGATCTAGTCCACTTTTACACCTGGTTTAGATCTGGTGTTAATTTTTTTTCTTTGGTGGTCCTCTGTGAGACATTTGAGTCTAGACCTGCATCAAATGTTCAGAACAGTTGTTTGTGCACACAGCAGAGCTCTCACACTGGCTCTGAGGAGCAGAGGGAAAAACAGGTTTAAAAAAGTGAATAAATAAATAAAGCACAGTACATCAAAAAACACATTTCACAAATAAAGTGATAGTGCAGGATTCCATGGAAATAGAACATGGACATAAATATATTTTATGCCATACTGTGGAATATTGTAGCCAAAGGAACATTTCCATGGAAACAAGCAGAGGGAGTTCAGGACAAATACGAGCTGAGTTTGTGGCAACACAAGTCCACAGTTTTCAGTGCAATAAAAACATCCACCGTGAAAAAGCAAGATTTTATTTTAGATAATTTTTGGGGCAAAAAGGTTACATACTGTGGCTTTAAAGGGTGCATATTATACAAAAACATACCCCAATTTCTATTCTACTAAACAAAAAGTAAAAGGAGCAGTTCACTTGAAAATGACCAGTCACAAGGTGGAACAGAGCATTTGGAGCTTTGGAGATGGAGACAGATGAATCATGCAGGATTACTCAAACATGTAAATGAAACAAAACACAACTCCAGACATGAGGTTCTCACACTGTAACATGTCTGAAAGCACAAGTCAGTTTTGTGTCATATGGGACATTTAAGTACATGATTCAAGTAAAACCACAGTTTCAAAGCAGCAGTGAAGCAAACCAATGTGAATGCACACAAAACAGTGCACAACACTATCAATACTGTGGCTATTTCTCTGGCCCCAAACAAAGCCTGCAGGAGTCAGACTCAAAGAACAATAAAACCAATAATTGTGTACTGTATTATAAGACCACTGTTGAACACAATGTGATGACTAAGACAGTGTCAGGTCATCCAGGCTACTGCAAAAAAAAAAAAAATCACATTTCACCACATCAAAACTGGGACTAAACCTGGGACCAAACCTAGACCAGCACTACACCAAGACCAGAATCGACCAAAACAAATCTACAACTGGACCCAAATCAGAATCAAAGAAAGTGTGAATGTCTCCCAAGTTCGGCGACCTGGTTCCTCCCGTAGACTCTTTAAAGAGGTGGACCGAGGCTGTGTGACGTCACCCACAGAGTCTGGCTCCAGGCAAATGAAGCTCACGAGGCAAAGCACTTACAGGAGTGAATTTGGAGCCAGTTCCATGTTAGGAATGGGAATTTATTTACAGACAAAATAGAAAATAAAAACACCAGGATCATGTAGATTCATGGACCTGGGGTGGGTTCATACAAACATTTTAAGACCAAAATGATGAGCAGTAGTTACAGAGAAAGGGGCCACAATTTTCAGTGTAAAGTCAATTGGAGCCAGAGTTGATGGAGCCAGAAGCGTGCCCATGCTCACGAGTTGGAGCACGGCGGCTAGCGGGTTTGCTCCATTTATATATACAGTGTATAGATCCTCCTCCTCATCATCAGACATGCCCAGTGTAGAAAAGGTTTGCAAAGGAGGGGGCACATTTTGGCATAACACCAACTTCAATGGTAACGTCTAATACACACACCAAAATAATAATTAGAATAATAATGAAGTAAAAGTACTAAAATACCTGTTTTTAAATGTACTTAAAGAAAACAAAGTATTTCTGACAGATTTTGAGGCTTATAAGGCTTCAGATGTAGAAAATAAAGATTTATGTTGTATTTTGTTCAACAGAAACAACGGAATCGATGTTTTGTGTTTTGTTTTTTGTTTTGTTTTTATCTAGCTGTTTTTATTTGTATATTTTTGTTTGCTCAAACTACAAATGTTTCCATCAGGTCACAAACAACACAAATACTTTAACTTTTAAATAAATGTAGTGGAGTACAAAGTAAAAAAGTATCTACTTTAAAATGTACTCAAAGGTGCACTATGTAACTTCTAGGTGAAGGGTCCATTACTTATTTCTTTGCCTGGAATGTTCCACAGTAGGGCATTAAACATATATCCCTTGCATTTGTTCATTTACAGGTGTTGTATAGCTCAAAAATGCCGTGAAAACATGTGGTGCAGGCTCGCTTCTCCATAGATCTGACCATTAACCTGTCTCCACAGTGATGACCAAGTCTACTTCCATAGGGGATAATCGAGACAAAATTTTATGTCCATGGAGACAAGCAGGTGGCCTAACCCTCCACCAGGAAAGGCGCGCAGTGCACGTTTAAGAACTGATGCCAAACATTTGGACTGAAGAAGAGCACGTTACTATTGTGACTTGTTTTCTTCCACACTTCATTCATTCATGCCCTTGTTTCTCTCTGGTGTCTCTACTCAGCCCCAAGACACCGCCACACGCACCGTGACCCCGTGCGCGTGCCCGTGGACCTCGGCTTAAAGCGCACTCACTGTCCACCCGCGCGTCCGTCTCGTGCTCTCGCTGCCAGCCTCGCGGCGCTCGCACCGAAACGTCCGCGACAATGAACGTGTTCTGGTCCGAAGCGACAATGACCGCGCCACACCTGCGTCTGGCCCGCTCCCTGTCACCACGCACATCTCTCTCACGCACGCACGCTCCAACGTCTTGTTTACGCACGGAAGCAATCCCGAATACACAACATTTGCAATATCGTAAACCGTTCACGTTGTGTAGTCGTTTTACGCGCGCGCACACGCACACAACCGCTAGCGTGAGTGGAGGCGTCTTACCGTGTGGTTACTGTGGAACAAGTGGTCCTGCTCGCTTCATTCATTCACTAGCGGCTGCTCATTCCCCTACGTGCGCATCCTCCCGCGTCTCATCCGGCAGAGGAGTGAGCTGGTGCCCGCGAGCTCAGAGGTATCAGGGCTACGGAGCAGGCGCAGTTCACACCCCTCTCTCTCTCTCTCTCTCTCTCTCTCTCTCTCTCTCTCTCTCTCTCTCTCTCTCTCTCTCCTTATTCAAGGCGCCGTGTGAGGTCGTTCATCACTTCATGGACATTTTCGATTCGCGTAGACATGAAACGGAAGCACAAAAAGAATTTTGGGCTAAAGCAGAGCGCGCCTGACCGAGTAGTTCCAAAACAAGTATTTGATAAAAGGGCTGCAGGCAGGTTCTTTTCAGTGAGGTCGCCTAAATTCATTCATAAAGAACATGCCTAAACTCTCTTTAAACCACGGTATACACAGTATGAACCTTTGCCCAAATAATAGACAAAAAAGCATGTTTCTTTATTTTGGATATTTTTATTGCACTGTATGTGAGCATGCTTGCATCTCCACAAACCTGACTCTTATTTGGCCTGGGGGGGGGACCTCCAGAAAGCTAAGACCGTTTTATAGTTTTGTGTCGACTCAACGCACACTGCCGCCATCGCCTTGTCAGCGTCGGTTTTATGGATCTGTGTCGAGGTCTATGCGCCGCAAAGTAATTCACCGCCACAACACTAGGAGGTGAGGATTTAAGAGTGTTTACAAAATGAAGCGGGAAAGCAGAGTACTGAAAATGTCTGTAGGGTGGATGTAGAAAGGACCAATCACAGCCCTTATTGTCTCAGGTCGCTTTCCCTGCTGTCTGCATCGGGTTGACGCATAGTTACAAAATTTCATCGTGACGCACGACCATAAATTGAGCTTTACTATCATTTTAACATGACACTACTCTGATTGGACAATGAGATGTCTTCAAAGGAACACTAGCAAAGTGGTGACAAAGAGAATTTTCTGGAAGGTGGTCTGCCATCTTCTTGTATCCATGGAGATGTTGCTTTGTCTAGAATGTTCCACAGTCTGACATTAAATTTATATATATATATATATATATATATATATATATATATATATATATATATATATATATATATATATATATATATATATATATATATATATATATATATATATATATATATATATATATATATATATCATGGAGACAAGCAGGCAGTGCCACTAGGTCAGGTTACAGGTCAGATCTGTGAAGAGACATCTGCAGTCTATTTGAATCTTTGTAAGAGTGACACATGTTTGCCACACTGTGGAACAGGCCAAGCCAAGATGGAGGAGCCCACTCAGAAAAGTCTAGTAACTCACCTTCTGTATGTGGGACATGTGTGAGCTCCTGTCTGGACTCCAGTGGAAATCACAAAACCTTCATTTTTATGCGTTGCTCTGTCGTGTGCAATGGCCAGCGTTTGGCACCATCAACAGTGACGGGCAGCAGGCCACTTTTCGAAGATTTGGTTCTCAGCTCAGCATTTTAATCTAAAGTGGAACTAAACACTGAATCCACCAAGAGCTTCTCTGGAGGTGATGGTTGAGGTGAAGGTGTAGGTGATGGTGGAGGTGAAGGTGTAGGTGATGGGGAGGTGAAGGTGGAGATGATGGTGGAGGTGATGGGGAGGTGAAGGTGGAGGTGATGGTGGAGGTGATGGGGAGGTGAAGGTGGAGGTGATGGGGAGGTGAAGGTGGAGGTGATGGGGAGGTGATGGTGGAGGTAAGTAAGTAAGTAAGTCTTTATTTATATAGCGCTTTCACAGACATTGGAAGTGGAGAAGAAGGTGGAGGTGATGGTGGAGGTGGAGGTGATGGTGGGACAGAGCAGAGCAGCACAGAGTGGGGCTGTTGTGTTGGGGTGATGGTGGAGGTGAAGGTGGAGGTGATGGTGGAGGTGAAGGTGGAGGTGGAGGTGATGGTGGAGGTGATGGTGGAGGTGATGGTGGGACACACGTAGCGCAGAGCAGTACAGAGTGGGGCTGTTGTGGTGTGAGTGATGAGCACAGGGAGCAGTGGGGCCATGATCCATCCTGTGGACACAGTGATCAGAGTGAGTCAGGGCTGAGGCATGGCCTTATACACACACACACACACCGACACACACACACACCCGCACACACACACAGACACACACACACACAGAGACACACACAGACACACCCCCACACAGACACACACACACCCACACACACACACACACAGACACACTCCTCTGGGCACGTGCACCAGAGAGGAGTGTGCATGTGAGAGGTGTGTGCACGTGAGAGGAAGTGTGCATGTGAGAGAGGGGCAGGAGTGTGCATGTGAGAGGTGTGTGCACGTGAGAGGGAGTGTGCATGTGAGAGGAGTGTGCATGTGAGAGAGGGGCAGGAGTGTGCATGTGAGAGGTGTGTGCACGTGAGAGGGAGTGTGCATGTGAGAGGAGTGTGCACGTGAGAGGGAGTGTGCATGTGAGAGGAGTGTGCATGTGAGAGAGGGGCAGGAGTGTGCATGTGAGAGGAGTGTGCATGTGAGAGAGGGGCAGGAGTGTGCATGTGAGAGGAGTGTGCATGTGAGAGAGGGGCAGGAGTGTGCATGTGAGAGGAGTGTGCATGTGAGAGGTGTATGCACGTGAGAGAGGCGTGTGCATGTGACAGAGGGGCAGGAGTGTGCATGTGAGAGGAGTGTGCATGTGCGACAGGGGCAGGAGTGTGCATGTGAGAGAAGTGTGCATGTGAGAGGAGTGTGCATGTGAGAGAAGTGTGCATGTGAGAGGAGTGTGCATGTGAGAGAGGGGCAGGAGTGTGCATGTGAGAGGAGTGTGCATGTGCGAGAGGGGCAGGAGTGTGCATGTGAGAGAAGTGTGCATGTGAGAGGAGTGTGCATGTGAGAGAAGTGTGCATGTGAGAGGAGTGTGCATGTGAGAAGGGTGTGCATGTGAGAGGAGTGTGCATGTGAGAGAAGTGTGCATGTGAGAGGAGTGTGCATGTGAGAGAAGTGTGCATGTGAGAGGAGTGTGCATGTGAGAGGAGTGTGCATGTGAGTGGAGTGTGCATGTGAGTGGAGTGTGCATGTGAGTGGAGTGTGCATGTGAGTGGAGTGTGCATGTGAGTGGAGTGTGCATGTAAGTGGAGTGTGCATGTGTCTTACAAACAACATGTTGAAATAAAAAGCGCAGGATCATGTCGAGCAGGTTCAAACCAACATTTTAAGGTCCGAATGAGGAGCCAGACAGCAACAGTTTCACAGAGAGGGGCCACGCTTGTTCAACTGAAAGGGAATTGGAGCCAGAGTTGATGGAGCCAATGTGCGCCCATATTCACTTTCTACTAGGAACGCAGCGGCTTAGCTATGTCCATTTGTACATGGTAGTACCATGGTTAAAACAGGAAGTGTTAGAACCTGTGAGATCGTCCATGTGAGCAGAGGCCAAGGCTGCAGGAGGAGACTATCGACTGGACACAGTGTGATTAAAGTCCATCCATCACACGCACATGTGCTCCTGTCTGACGCCTCCTTCATTAGTCACATCAGTGGCCACGATACAGACTAGACCCAGGCTCTGCTTTGCTCCTCTGCTCCATCACATCTCCTCCTCCAAAAAAAAAAAATGTCTGTGAAAAGTATTATATAAATAAAGACTTACTTAAATGACTTAATAAAAGAAATAAGTTCACTGACTTCCATGTTAGGAAACTGTGGTGCCTAGTGGGAGCTGACGCTGCTGTAAACGTCATCACGACAAAGCGCTGTATGCAGCTTTGCCTGAAATGTTCCACAATATGGCATTAAACTCATCTGCCTTGATTTTTCTGAGTTACTTCTCCACAGATCCCTAAAGTGTGAGCGTCCATTTAACATGTTTGAGCATCTGTGGTCAGAAGAGTAAAACTGTAGACGTACAACAAAAATGGCAGTAGACATAAAAGTATGTGCCTGATGTACAGTGTTGGGAAGGTTACTTTTAAAATGTATTCCCCTACAGATTACATTTTTTACACAGATTACATTTTGGAGTATGTAATCACATCCAAATCACTCCAAAATGTAGTTTGTAATGTAATTCATTAAGTTACTTAAGGTGAGTAACGTAATCTGAATACTTTGGATTACTTATTGTTATATACTATATTGTCATGCTTTTTAAAACTACATTCAGCACATGTACATGCACATGTAGCGACCACATCCTTTGTTTTTAGTTCTAGTTTAGTCTTAGTTTGGACCTTGTTTAGTCCTGGTTTTAGTCTTGGATTTAGTTCTGGTTTAGTCCTGGTTTTAGTCTTGGATTTAGTCCTGGTTTAGTCCTGGTTTAGCCCTGGTTTTAGTCCTGGTTTTACACCTGGTTTTAGTTCTAGTTTAGTCCTGGTTTATTCCTGGTTTTAGTCCTGGATTAGTCCGGTTTTAGTCCTGGTTTAGTTCTGGCTTTAGTCTTGGTTTAGTCCTGGTTTATTCATGGTTTTAGTCCTGGTTTAGTTCTGACTTTAGTCCTGGTTTAGTCCTGGTTTTAGTTCTAGTTTAGTCCTGGTTTTAGTCCTGGTTTAGCCCAAAATGTGAAAACAAGAACGTACCGCCGTGTACTCCATTTATTTCAACAAAGTAACTGTAATCCAATTACCACTCACTGAAACAGTAACTGTAACTGAATACAGTTACTCATAATTTGTACTCTGATTACATAATGCCAGTACATGTAATCTGTTACTCCCCAACACTGCTGATGTATTCATACTAAACCCCATCAGAACACGCTCTGCACTGCTCCAGCCAAGAGAGGCTCCCACTCGCAAAATGTCTCCTTTGTGACAGAAACAAAGCCAGCGCCGTAATGAGGGACCCTCTCTCGGCCCCTGCCCCGGCCCCTGCACATTAGGTGAAGTATATTGCTGTTGTGATGAAGAGGAAGCTGAGCTGAAAGGCAAAGCTCTCAATTTACTGTCAGTGTCTGTTTCTACCCTCACCTGTGGTCATGAGCTTTGAGTAATGACCAAAAGCACCAGATCATGAATATAAGCGGCACTAATGAGTTTCCTCTCGAGGGTGTCTGGGCGCTCCCTTAGAGACAGAGTGAGCAGTTTAGTTTTATTTATTTATTTA